CCGAGGAGCAAGACCTTATTTATAGAGCTATGCCTGCTTGTCGGGAATTGGCTACTCAAGGTTATCCCTCAATCTCCGTGCGTGAATAATAATACGAGAGAGGATGCTGGCTGACACGTCGGATTTACTGAAGCTGGAGAGAGTGTGTGTGTATGATGTGAGTGTGGAGTAAGATTGAAACCTCCATTACTGTGTGTCATGAAATGTTTCACAGTCTACTTACGGTTGGCTTTCTTTAATAGTTTCTTCAGTTGCAATCCAACTGTTCTTCGGCAGGTTCATGGAATCCATTGAATGACACATAGGCTACACCAGTTGACCTACATGGATGTCTGGAAAAAAGAGTATCCAGTGGCAACTGCGATGTGGGGAGAACATGCAAACTGCAGACTCACAGAGGGGAGGCGGGATTCGAACGCCCAGCCCTGGAAGCGTAAAGTGTTTCCCATTGTGCCGCCAAAATGTGAAACATTCTTACCTTTAAATCTTATCTGTCGATAGATTTGATTTTCAGTTTCATGCTGGGCTTCGTAAAATATCGGCTTGCTTCCTGACCTTCAAGCCGAATGCAGCGGGCGGCAAGGGGAGGCTTTGCATTGCAGAAACTGCGCTTGTAACACAGCGGTGTTTCCCACGGTACAGTCCTTGGCTCTTTGCATTTCGTGGCTATGCTTTACCTTGAGGGGGTGGTATGAATCTCCGTCTTCATTTGAACGTTTCTGTCAGAGACAGATTTATTTTGTTGTATTTCTCCAGCCCTGGGGGGGCCTCACTTCCTCTTCCTCCCACACAGAGCTGAGATCCAGCCATGGATAAGTAAAATTGGCTGGAAATGAACCCCCAATAAAATGGAGATTATGTTAATTGGCAGTGGTGTGATGTAACCCCAATGATACTGAGTTTTTTTAGAAACGCCATCCTGCCATCTGTGGTCGTAAAATGGACATGTTTATGCCCTGATGAATTATGCTGTTGAATAAATTAATTTTAGTTGAGATTAAACATCTTTTCCCCCCAGGAAAGTTTTCTTGTCCGACACTGTGAGACACCGTTTGCTGTGATGAGCAGAATTCTGTTCAACGTAAACGGACAACAAACTTTTTATCCGCAGCTGTCCGCTAGATGCTGAACGAAATAGGGTCACCAGTTTATTTGGGGAAGGGGGGTGACTGTGTTGCAGGGGGGTGGGTGGGGGGGTGTGTCAAAACTAAATGCACTCCAGGGGTCTTCTGTTTGGGAAGTCCCTGTTGCTTATTCTCAGAGTCAGCCAACTGATCTGACACGAGGCCAAGGCTAAAATTGGGACTGCTTGACTAGAGACTGAAGTAAACTGACACTGCAGTGTTGGTGGGTGGGGGGTGTGGGGGGGGGGGATGGAGTACGGGTGGCAATAGGAGAGCTGTTTAGATGGCGCAGACTTCTCCTGCATGGGGAGCAGGGGACAGGTGTCACATGCAACATGAGATCCTCCCTTAGCTTAGGGTTAGGGTTAGGGTTAGGGTTAGGGGGTTTTGCACTGGAAAGTAGGGACAGCTAGGGGGAGGGCGGGTTATTCGTGGATGGTTGCGGGATTGCGTAACCTCACGCTGGCTTTTGACGCATCTGCCCCGACGTCCTGTCCAGGCTACTCGGGAATGTGCCTGGCTTTTGGATTGTGACTCCTCCTCCCTCTCCCTTTTGGGCGGCCTCCCTCCCACTCAACCGGTTGCTTAGAGATAGGCCCGAATTGTTGGACTCCGTAGGAATTGATTAGACCCCCTCCAATGGAGGACTGGCGTATTTTAAGAAAGGTGCGAATAAACCATCTGCTTCACAATTTATATTGAATGCAAGGTTTGGGCTTCAGATTTAAGGTAATCTGGAAACAGTAAATAAGTTCCGAACGTTAGACGCAGGGAATGTTTGTGTTTGTACCGAGTGCACGACATTGCGAATGGTCTTTCACGATGCTAGATGTCTGGTCCGTCAAGCCAAGCACTTTGTGCCTGTGATTGTTTTTCTCTGTAAACACAGTGGTTTGACTGACCAGGCCTTGCCTTCTAGACGACACAGCAGTCACGCGGCGAGTGGACCAAGGGAAAACAGTCAATGATGAGTCAATAGGGCGATGTCTGCCTCTCCAGACTATACAAAAGCCCCGGGATGGCAGTGAAATATAGTGTGTGTCTCTTCGTGTGAGTATAGCGCTCCCAAAGACAGTGACATGAGCTCTGCTCCAAGGCTGCTATGGGTTTTCACTTAGTTTCCCTCCATTTTCCACCAGCTTCCTAAAGGAGTTTTTTTCGTTACAGGATTGCCTCCCATGCTGGAAGGAATTTGGTCTGTGGTCTCGTGCTTTGAACGTTATCGCGAAAGTAACTGGCTTCCTGCAGTAGGGGCTTTTAATTTTTCCAGAAAGATGTTTAAAGCTGCTTTGATTTAGAGATCAAACAGGCTTCATGAAGATGAACGTTGCCAGTAGAACCTGAAATTAGATATTGTTGCTACTAATTGAAAATTGAGGGTGTAGGTCAGGGGGCAACCTAAACAAACCTAATTACCGTAGCATTTGTTTGTGACCATTGCAACAGCCAGTGAGGATATCTGCTCTAAGGCTTTTGCTCATACCATAGGGAGGCTTTCGGCCATGAAGGAGAAGATCAGGACCCCAGAACCTGCAGATGTCATGGAGCACTAGTCACTAGTCAAAACAAGTAAAGAACGTCACACTTAGAATGGATGGATACTGGCAGTACCAGATCTTTCCGAAAAGAGATTTTATCGTTCGTGGCAGAGGCTGTAAATTTCAGAGCTTTGACGACCCCCCCCCCCCACCCGCCTGCTCCATACCCATATAGTGCATAACAGTCAGGGACTGCTGGCAGGCCAAGTTCTCGCCCTGGAGCTCGTCCACAAGAACGTCGGCGGTCCGGACTTGACTGCGCAGCACTGACATTGGGCCGGGTTGGGGGGGATGGTTTGGTAACTGCGTTGCTGGAACGGGCAGATTCCTGACTCCTGTGTCCCCTCCCCGTTTCACGTTTCACTGCCCACACTACGCCACCCCCCACCCCCCACCCCAGCAGAGCCCAATTCCAGGAGAGGCGCTGCACCTGTTTGTCAGGAAATGCGTGGGCTTACTCCTTCCTGCCCCCTCCCACCCCCTCCTCTCTGCTTTTGCCCTGCTACTGTGGGCTGCAGCCTAACAGCCATGCCCCCCCTCCCCGCACCCCTGTTATCACTCCTTTTTCCACATTCCTTCACAGCACTCGTTTGCTTAGCAGATGCTTTCATCCCGGCGCTGTGTTTTATCCACGCTCCGCTGGGTCGGCTCGACGTCGAGCACATCTGCCCATCCTCGCGTCTCTGAGTGTCTGACTGTCTCGCCCGGCTTGGGCGCCGCAAATGGTTCCCGGCTGGGGACACAGACCCGCAACCTTCTGGCGTGTTCCGAGGCGGTCGGCACGGTCCTCCTCACCCTGGGGCGGAGGGCCAAAGTCAGGTGACCTGTGCAAAATTACCGCGTGACGTAAAATCATGCCTGCTTTGTTTCCTGCCGTTTTCCTCCTGCACTGAAATCGAAAGCCTCTCCATTGTTTTTTCTCATCCATGTCTGTTTGCTGCATATCCCAGATAAAATCCTCACTGCCATCTTTGGCTCTGATATCCGTCCAGGCCAGAATGAGTCTTCTCCATAAAGATTACCGTAGGAGCTGAAGTCAGACTCCAAAATGTATGTCAGACTTGTTTTTTTTTTTGCTGGTTTTCACTTTCAGTCTTATTTTAGTGTGGCATTAGAGTAATATGGGTATTTATTAACCGTGATATCTATCTGCCAGGCTGTTTTCGCCACCAAGTCGAGGACACGCCTTAGCCACACAAACGCCATGAATAATTGACCGTGTGGTGAACAGGCAGGTCCCTCGGAGGCTTACTGATAGATGTGTTTACCTTTAATGGCACACGCTCTCTGTCAATAAGACGCGCCGACCGCGGAGTTTTCCAAGGGGCCCCCTGGCGGCGAGACGCACAGAGCGGACTCACTTGGCTCTCTCGTGGGTTTCTCCGGCGGAGAACCCGTCACAGGTTACCGCCGTCGATCGGGAACCCGAGGTTGAGAGAGGTCAGGGTATTTTTAGTTGTGTAAATTGGATTTCTGCAGTAAGGGCAAAGTTAACCCGGGTCTAAATATAGAGGTGGTCATTTATCATGAGCGCCTGCGCTGGCTTTCATTCATTCGTGACAAACGAACAAGCCCACGGTGGTCTCGTCTCGTCAAGACGACCTCTCGTTATCTTCGTTCTCCTTCCTGTGTTGGTCTGCCCACTGCGTTCGGGAGGAATTCCCCTTTTAGCTAGAAAGACACTGGACTTGCGCACATTTTGGTTCCAGGCATGGGTTGTACAGTAGCGCTTGGTTTTAGATAGCTATGCTGGATCACTCTTGGACACGCTCTGAATTGGGGAGGGGGGGATATCTATGAGACCCCCCCTCTCAGCAGCTGGCCTTCTTGGGCTGAATTTGCTGAAAATGCTGCTCCGGTCTCTCAAGGTCGCAAATCAGATGGCTTCTGTGCAGGGATTAGGACTCGGACAATTTTTTGGAATGGTCACAACTTTTAATAGGTTTTAGGGGGAAGTGTTTATAGGGGGGACTTGGTTGGGGGGGGGTGTGCCTGGGATGGAGGGGTGTCTGTTTTACTGTTTTACTGCCTAGCGATTCATAGCCAATTCCCAGAGGGAGTGCGGTGAGGCGTTCATCCGCAAACTTCCGTCGGGTCTCCCAGAGCATCTTGGGAGCTTGGCCGTGTTGGGAACCCTGCTGGTGGACAGTTGCCCCTCTCCCGATCCCTCTGTCGGTGATTATGTCTGCTCAGGGGAAAAAAAAAAATGTAAACTTCCTCTGGAAACCCCGAGTAGCTGCCGACGTGAGCGCTGCCTGATTCGGGCCGCTGGAAGTGCCTCTAAATGTAGTCTGTTGTATAATCCCTCTAGGGGCCCTACTGCTATTTTTGTTCCTGGATATGCGTCACGACTGGGTATTTTCTCTGGTGACTAGCTTACATCAGTAGGTCTCCTAACATACGCTCTATCAGCGAGTGCCTCCTGATTGATGGGAGTCTCGCCCGCCGATTACGACCCCGGACGATGGGCTGCCAGAGCACTGACTCCGAGGGACGCTGCAGATGACTGGAGATGTGGTACGGGGATCTGATACAGACAGGTTAGTGGGCAGGCGTTTTCATTCCACTTTCTCTCCTTCGTTCTCTCCCTCGCGCTCACTGTAATTTCCGAGCCGGTCCGCTTGCAGCAAGTCGGGACGCGGCAGCCAAATGGTCCCCTCCCCCCCGCGTGCATGCAGACGTGTGGCTTGCAGCGAACCCTGGGACCGGTGTGCCGGATCGCCACGGCGACAGCCTGCCAGCTGCTTCCGCGGTAGCGTAGCGATCGCGTAGCGATGACATAAGTTGCCCCGCTCTAGGGGGCCAGCTCACTGGGGACACTGGTAATACCTCCCTTCCCTTCCCATCTCCTCTTCACTGTCTGGATTGTGGTGGCTGTGGGTGGTGGTGGGGGGGGGATGTAAAATGCAAAGACATCGTTGTTTTGTTTGCCCGTTTGGTCGTGGTGACACTCAGTCAACTTCCACAAACCCACTGAACGATGGCAAATGACGTCACTTACGGAAGGATACCCCTGTCACCCCCCCCCCCCATCAGCAGATGAATGTGAGGCAGCAGGTCCGTTTGACCTGAGCTGTAGCGTTAGTGCGTTAATGTGCATGTCACAGCTGGCCGCTTCCAGGGGGAGACGGTCCCGTCGACGAGGCAGGGAAGCATGTCCGACAGGCAGCCCGCATCTCACGCGTGTCCCCTTCCTTTGGGTCAAAGGTGCTCGGTGTTTCTCGCAAGATTATCTAGCCCCCTCCCCCTCCCCCCCGACTTGCACACGTTCAGTGACTCAGGGAACCCAGAAGTGAGATTAGAAAGCAGCTCCCAGATCCTGCACTATCACCTGCCCGGAATCTGCCGGAGAGCTTCCTGTTGTTTACCTTCATGTCGCTCTTGCCGTCTGTCTCCTGAAAGCGCTGTAATGCCCCTCTGATAGCTGAGGAATGAAGACTCGCCGACCAGCCAACTGTGCTGAAGCATTTTCCATTCACAAATTCTCAGACGATTTATAATGCGCTCGTCGTCTCCCCCCGGCAGACTGCTCCCCGTGTCTCGGAGCTGCTGCTGCCCACCCCCCCAACCCCTGCCACCTCACCTTCTCCTGTTTTCCTCCGCAAACGAACAGAACAGAACCAAGCCGATTGGCCTTTGACCCCCGGACAGCGGTGCCGAATGTCGACACTCGAAACGGGGAGTGGGGCGTCTCTTGGAATTCCGGACGTGGTCTTGTTTTGTCGTTGACGGCTGTTGATGTCTCACTTTATTCAAAGCAATATGCACCGTGCTTTTTTCCATCTGTGTCTGGGGGGGGGCATTATAGGGGGAGCATCAGCTCAGGGTCTTGTGCTGAGTTTCAGGGTTACTGTCTTGTGGAGCTTAACTTTTCATCATTTATTTATCCGGTTTGTTTTTCCCGGGTGAGTCCGATTATAGTAAACACAGCATGCGGCCACGCGCGGGCTTGACGCTGCCCAGAGTCCCGCCCCCCCCCACAGCAATGCCGATCTGCTACGGTTACGGTGTCACAATGGATTCTCCTGGCCGACAACCCGATCCGACGGGTGTCTATTAATTGGACACCTCTTGCAGCGTCAGAGTTCGTGATGGCGGGCGGGGTCTGGGGATGCGCCCTTTGTTCGCTGGTGTCGGATTGCCATCATCACGACATCATCAGCATGTGTGTGTGTGCGTATGTTAGCCCTCCCGTGTGATGCGGAGTACGCCAAGACCTGTGGATTATGCTTCTGCAAGGGGGGGGGCTTCCGCCTTTCTCTGTGACGCATTCCTGCTGTCGCTGTATCGTCACCTCGTAAACACGCCCCCGCTCGCGCACCTTCAGGAAAGAGACCCTCCGATTTTTTTACCGCCGTGTGTCTCCGGGGCCGAGTTTCCTCTTTACGGAGTGAACAACGGTGCTTCTCTTTCACCAACAAAAGCAAACGTGAGAACGCGATGGAGGAACAGACCCGTACCTGGAATCTGGCTCCTTTGAGACCGTTCTGCTGGTGCCGCTCCTTCAGGCTCCCTTCACTGCCCCGAGATGCGTGTCACCCAAAAAGGACGCTCCGGTTACTGTAGGACAGAGCCGACCTCCCGTTGAGTCCCCATTGTGGAGCATCGGCCAGCTTCCAGAAGGCAAGGCAAAGGGTCATGACCTCATCTCCTCTCTCTCCTGTGAGCCACGGGCTTGAATGCTGGCCCGTGATTCCTTTGCCAATTGCGTGGACTTGAGTCTCGTACGTGCTTTTGTAACTTTTGGTTTTCCTGGACGTTTAGGTACGGCCGTTCAGTCAGTTTATTAAATTAATCTCGTCTTGTAGATGTCACTGCGGTCAGTGCCGCGTTCATGTGGGGCTGAACTCACCGGCGCCTCTTGTGGGGAAAGTGGGTACTGCCGGCCACCCGTCTACTCTTCCTCCTCCACAGCGGATAGCGCCTGCGGGGCTGGCCTGGCCTCGTCGCGGAACCGTCAGAGGCCGTGCTCCTCCTGCTGTAGCCTCCAGAGTGCCGGAGGGTGAGAGGGAGGCTTTCATTCGCTCCGCTTCTGTCTAGAACATATTGAGCCTCTGGTAGCGCAGCGGGGAGGGCTGGGTACACGAGGCTCTGTACTGGTGCTCATTAGCGACACCGCGCGTGCGTCAAGGAGTTATGGAAATGGGGGTCTATTTGAGCACAGGGGCACTGTCACGTATGCTTAAGCTGCATTCGGGCAGATGTGACCGGTCTGCCTTTCCTGATGTTTCCCAGAGTCTGTGGCCAACAGCAAAGTGCGCCGTGGTCAGCGATGCACTGCTGCATATCCGTGGGTGGTATAGCGCCCCTCCTTGGCCACGTGGACGCTGAAGGCAGCCGGTGTCTGCGGGCGCCCCGGGCATCGAGTTCTTTGTGGGGTCACCGGCGACCGGAGCCCAGCTCTCTGGTAGAGGATGTGTCCTACTTGAAGCGGATTAGCGCTATTGCTAGCGCCACTGTCAGTGGTTTGGCAGCGCCAGCCCTCAGCAGGCGTGTTGTTCTGGGCACACTAGTCATGAAAGCGGGCCTGCCAGCGGCCTGTGGTGGACGGTGGGGTATTGGGTTCGGGTGGGGGTGTCAGTGTTTGGGGGAGGGGGGCGGCGGCGTATGCCAGGGCCTAGCTCCAGGGTAAGAGCAAGGAGGCCTGACAGGAAGTGGAAATCCAGGCGTGGGGCCCAAAAATGGCAAAGCCTGGGGCGTCACAGCCCACAGATGGGCCATGGACAGCCGACACAGCGGCCTGAGCCAACTTGCCGGGCTCTGCTGAGAGCGAGCGAGAGAGGGGCTTCCCACCAGGAGAAAGGCTGCAGCCCAGATCGCTCCAGAGGGCCAAGGCTGCGCGGTGCCCCGTTCCGCGGCGTGACACTCGGACCCCAGGTGAGGCCACCTGTTCCCCTGCAGCGCCCTCCCTCTACCTGCTACCGCTCCCTCCTGGTCGCCAGGCTCACATTCTGCCATCGGGAGACGCCGCAGAATCTATTTCTGTTCCTGATGACGGCGATTGTGATGGAGCTCACGACCAGACTCCGGCTCCTCTCGCGATGCCTTCCTCAGGTGCTGGATCTCCTCCACCCAGACGACCCTTGGAGTCCTTCAGACACATTGGTGCTGACCAGGAACAGTTAAAATCTTACGAGGCCCCTATTATAAAAATTTTTTGGCGTGCTAGTATTTCCTTTATCATTCCCGCCAGTCCTTCCACACAGAATCGCTGTACTAAGCGTTTCATTTTGAACTCCCACCACTTAAAAAAAAAGAAAAACAGATTCTTCTGAATTACCCAGAAAACCGGTTAGCTGAAATTACTCTATTCCAAAGATGAACCCACTGCCTCCATAATTATGTAACGGTGGATGGAAACAAGTCCGATCTGTGCAAAGGAGGTAGCAAGAAAGACGTCTCCTCGTGCTCCTTGGCCTCTCGACACGTCGAGGAGGAAACGGCCGGCCCACAATGCCCCGCCCACTGCGGTTACGGAGCGGCCCGGAGGATCGACAATATGGGTTATACGAAGGCGTAATGATATAGGCTGTATGGGAAGAGGGTGATCCGGGAGAGAGAGGCGCGGGAAGGCAGGCGCAGAGACTGCATTGTGTAATGAGATATTTTTAGTTTGGTAGGCAACAACGAGAAGGAGTTATTGGTTCGTTTATTTGAGCGAGTCGAGCACAACATGGACCAGGGCAGAGCAGATTTCCACAGTGTTTTGTCCACTGTTGTATAGGGTTAGAGTTAGGTGTGGTCAGTAGAGGGGAGTGCTGTTCAGGGTGTGGTCATTGGGGGGGGGGGTAGTGCTATTCTGGGTGTGGTTACTGGAGGGCGGTGCTATTCTGGGTGAGGTCATCGTGGTGCAGTGCTGTTGTGGGCGTGGTCACTGGAGGGCAGTGCTATTCTGGGTTTGGTCAGTTGGAAGCAGTGCTTTCTGGGAATGGTCACTGGAGAGCAGTGCTATTCTGGGTTTGGTCAGTGGGGGGCAGTACTGTCTGGTTGTGGTCACTGGAGGATACTTTCGACCTTAACAGAGATGCACGGTCGATGAACGGGACTCTGACAACCTACACAATCATTCTCATCATGACGGCAGAGCCCAACCGGGGATGAAATGACATCACAGCTCGCTGTCTCCCTCTCATCGCCATCCATGTGACTGGGTATCGAGGCAGGAAGCTGCTCACTTGGATAAGATACGCGGACTTGGATTCCGGGGACTTCGGGTTGCCTTGGCTTTTGCTGCTGTGTAGTACAAGACTGGATCTGTTCGCCTAATGTAGTTCGCCGGTGCAGTGCGGGTGCCGGACATGCTCGAGTAATTAAATGAAGTATACCTTTTGTTTTGCCTCTGAGCAAAGATCTGTTCAGCTGAACGCGACAAGGCAGCACTGAGCAACGTCAGTAAGATAATGACTCCAGCGCTCGACGCCCCCTGGGGTCGATAGCGCGGCCTACCCTCGCAAAGCGATGTCTGTTAGCATAACGTTCCCTCCGTGTCCCGCCGGTGACGCACGCATGTACGGGCACACATGCACGCAAGCGGCCCTGC